CACGCACGCACGCACGCACGCACACGCACACACTATAGTGGATGGTAATGGAATCAAGCGGAATTAACGATGGGTGCGACAAAGTCGAGAGTTGAGGCGAGGTGAGTCGAGGTGAGCCGAGGTGAGCCGAGGGCGGCAAGCGGCAAGCAAGGCGCGTCGTAATTCGTACTTGTGCGCGATCGTGGCGATCGTGCGCGACACTGACAGTCGGGATTGTCGGAAAGATGCGACAGAAAGCGCTCGATCGTTCCGCGTGACGAGTTAAAGGGACGACGAGACGTCCGTTTATATCTGTTTTGGGAGCGTCGCGACGATTATGCAGTCTCTTTCGCGTTGCCGTATGATCAGATGAAGGAGCTCGACTTGTGTTCCTTGACATCTCGATTCGACGATCGGAATGGTTTCTCTGACGCGGGTTTCTTTCATTGCGCTTCTCTATGGTAAGCGGCTGTCGATTACGCCTTTCCTCCTGGGTGCATAACGAGGAAGAAACAATATATTATACGGTCTGGACTCGGTGTTTTCCGTATCGTAATTTCATGTACTGGCTGATCGATATAACAGATGATTCGCTTGATGTTCGTTTGATTCGATTATCATGAATCTTCTGTACGCCAAATAATTGAATTGTATCAGTGTATAGAGAATTTAAAAGACATCCGCACATCTTGGGATTCTTAAGCATGCAATATGTTTCGCGCGATCTTATCTACAGTACCTAAATTAACGAACTATACTTACGTATTTCTGCTTTTATCGTATATGTATGTACGACGTAATCCAATAAGTTCTTCGTGATGTCTTAACAAACAAATTCAATTTGATTCTGTCGATATGATCTTTGTGCAATTGCACGTGCAAAAGAAAATATTTTTTCCAGCTCTTTTTGTTGTTTAATTATTACAATTTAGTTTTTTCAGCGATTCTGACGCATACAGCAGGGTCGCGTGTACTTGAGCTGAGTGATAGGTAAGAGACATTGGGTGCTTTCCATTTGATGACACAAGTCAACACAAGCGTCGTTCTATCCTTGTTGACATTCAGAGAGTGACAAAGATAGAATGACACTTGTGTCGACTTGTCATCAAATGTGGAAAGCACCCATTACTACTTTATTCCAACCAAGTCCATGCATGATTACTTAATACATTTCTTGCAGATTTCTAGAGGCACACAAAGATGGGCAATGGCTAATTATGGTACGTTTAATGCTCTTTTACGTCCTTAAGTTTAGAAAATACTATTTAAAAAATCTTTACTGTTTGCTTATCAATTTAATTTGATATTATATACTCCAGCTTGAGTCTAGGTAGACTGTGTCTCAAGATCGATAAATAATCGATGTGCATCGGTTTATTCGAAATTGTAAACAATTCATATAAATATGTGTTTAAGCAACAAGACCCGCTTTGTCCGAATATGGCTTTGTCCTCGCTCATTTGTATCGCAACTATTTTTGTTTTTTACAGATGTATGCACCATGGTGTGCGCATTGCAGAAGATTGGAACCGATTTGGTCTCATGTTGCTCAACATTTGCACGCATCGTCCATACGAGTGGGAAAAGTGGATTGCACTAGATTTACCAGTGTAACAAGTACGTTCAAAATTAAAGGATTTCCCACTATTTTATTGTAAGTAACATCTTGTAACGTTTTCTTCGATTAGTAGTTTCTAGTTGTATTATACAACGCTCGCATATATTAATATTTTCGTCTTAGTTTAAAGGGCGATCAGAAATATGTATATGAAGGTGATAGAACTAGAGAGGAAATAGTGAAATTCGCTTTAAGATTAAGTGGTCCTCCTGTGCAGGAAATAACAAAAACACAAAGTTTCGATATCATAAAGAAGGAACACGATCTCTATTTCTTATATGTAGGAAATAGAGCTGGAATTTTATGGGTAAATTGTTTTTACAATTTCATAATATAGATTTACACAGCACCCTTAATCGGATTTAATAACATCTGTAGTGAACTGACCAATCATAGCTATTTCTCTGAAGAATGAAATTATTGTGATTGGTTAGTTTCTAACTAAGAATATTATTAAACCTGATTATTAAACCCGATGACTGTGTAAACATCATATTATGAAGATAGTTTGAAATTCATGTCTGCATTTAATATTTAATGAATGTAGGAACTTTATCACAAGATTGCGAATGTATTTCAAGCGCATGCATTTTTCTATCAATCTCATCCGAGCGTCGTGAATAAACATGCGCCTGTAAATAATGTTCCGGCATTATTTGTGTACAAGGAAAATTCACATTATAATTTCACCGGTAAGTTGATCGAAAGAAAAAGGAATGATCATTATCTATTGTATCAGTGTTTAATTCAATCTGTAGGACATAACTTGAGCGACATGGGACAAGTGAATGAAACACTTTACAAGTGGGTGAATGCAGAACGTTTTCCAACGTTTCCGAAAGTAACAAGAGGAAATATAAATCAATTATTCTTAACAAATAAGAATCTCGTTTTAGCGGTTGTGGAGGAAAATCAATTGGAAGAGCTCGCACCTGATATGCTGAAATTCAAAAACATGGTTGAATCTGTGATCAAGAATAAACGAAATAAGTATCATGAGTACGTTTGTCACATTTATCAGACAACTTTTTGATAAAAGTAAGAAATGAAAATAAATTATCATTGTGTTCAGTCATTTTCAGTTTGGTTGGATAGGTAGTCCTAATCTAGTCAACAGCATAGCAATGATGACACTACCTATACCAAGCTTACTTGTGATAAATACAACTACTAATCATCATCATATTCCTGAGGATGAAACAGGAAAACTAACTCCATACGTAATAGAATTGTTCCTAGAGCAGATTCGCAACGAGAGTGCTCCGGTATAACATTAATGTGCATTTCATATTTGCTATTTATTCAATCTGTTAAAAAAATACGCATTTATAAGTATTTATGCATTTTCATCAGCGATATGGTGGCAACAATTGGCTAGTACGTAGTTATAGAAAATGGTTCGAAATGAAAACTGTTCTGACTTCAATGTGGAAGGGCAATCCTATCTTGATGATGGTCCTACTTGGATTACCGTTTGGATTTCTGTCATTAATATGTTATGGCATTTGTTGTCCAGATTTATTGGACGCGAAAGACGATGAAGATGGTAAAATTCTTTTTATTTTTCAGGAAATCAATTTTTACATAAAAATAATATATATGGTCGTTTTATGTTTTTTTTTTTTTCAGAGAATATTGGGATGCATCACATGAAGAATGATTAAAAATAGATACTATTTAATAGATTTATTATAACAGAATTCCGAGACACATTTTTCATTATATATAGTGTATATAAACGCTTATGATTGTAATATGTTTTTGACAAAAATTTGCCAAAGCAGTTTTAAGATTGCGAAAATTTTTATACAATAATTCATATATTTTCGACATTCCATATTGCAATTTATTTTTGATCCATTTCATGCATATAGTATTGATTTCTTTTATGTGCTCTGTATATATACATATATATATATATATATA